CACAGCGAGAGAGGGAACACAAGCAGGGGGAGTGGGAGAGGGAGAAGCAGGCCTCCCGCTGAGCAGGGAGCCTGATGCGGGGCTCGATCCCAGGATCCTGGGACCATGACCTGAGCCGAAGGCAGACGCTTAATGACTGAGCCACCCAGGCGCACCAATACTTTTATTTTTTTAAAAGATTTTATTTCTTTATTTGACAGAGACAGACACAGCGAGAGAGGGAACACAAGCAGGGGGAGTGGGAGAGGGAGAAGCAGGCTCCCGGCTGAGCAGGGAGCCCGATGCGGGCCTCGATCCCAGGACCTTGGGACCACGACCTGAGCTGAAGGCAGACGCGTAACGACTGAGCCACCCAGGCGCCCCTCTTTCTCTTTCTATTTCTGGGGGGACAAGTACAGCCTAGCTGCAGACAGAGGGCGCTGCAGCGCCAGGGCTAGAGTTCCAGCATCTTACCATCAGTCTGCACAGAGACAGCAGGACACTGAACAAGGTCTCCAGGGCCATAACGCAGTCTTCCACCCCGTTTTCACCCTGGTGAATAAGCAGCTCACATTACTTAGACTGTTAGAACCCAGTTGAATGAAGAGAGGTGACCCCCCCGAGAGTACACAGGGCGCAGAGAGGATGGCGGAGCCAGGACAGGCGGCCACAGCACAGTGTCCAGGGTCGGGCAGGAGGCTGGCGCGGGCCCTGCTCTCCCCACCTCTGAGCCCAGGTGCCTGAGGACCTGGAGGCTGCACCTGCAACTCACATGCAACACACGGGAACGGTTACAAACAGAAAATTTAAACTACTTTTAGGTAAGATTTCTTATTCACAAAAAAAGTGGATACACTATATATTTCAGAAATAATGACACTAACTCACTATAGGAAAAACACAAACAAAGGTTATAAAAAAAGAGAAGTCAACCATAATAAAGTTACACAGAGACAGGTGCTGTAAACAGTGCAAAGTGAGCCCCTCTGCATGTGGGTGTGTTGTGTATGATCTATGTTAACAAAAATGAAATTACTGTTTTGTGAAGGGCGTTCATCATTCACACACTGGGAGGCAGGCTGGAGGGCAGTGGCATGGTCTATGCGCAGCCTCAGGGCCTAGGACGGGACTCAGCCCACATGCCCAACAGGTTGTCCATAAATAAGTGACCCTCTAGAGGAAGAAGCGAGGTGGGTCCCACTTGAGGTCACAGCCATTCCTGGTGACATCTGCATGTATCTGCATGACTTCCTTTCGTGTTTTAAGAGAACCTGCTCAGCTCAGTCTTGTATGGCCCTGAGACCTTCCCTCCGACAGGACATGTCCTTAGCTGTCTTGAAAATATGCAAGCGGACTTCTAGAACTTACAGGTTCCTATCTATCAAATGGTGATAAATATAGTCGACTTACAGTGTAAAAAGGAGAAAAGAGAAAGAGCTTCAGACACTGAGAGCACCTGAAAACATTCCTTTCTCTTCTGGCTGCACTCATGTTTCTCGACGGTCACCCTCCCACACTTCCGCCGGTCCCCACAGCAGCCTGCGTCCATGCACTCACCTTCAGCCTTCTGCGGTTCATCCTGACGTACCAGTTGGTTAGGACATCCACAAACTTGACCAGGCGAGGCACCACCGTATAGAGCCTGTAAGCTGAAAGCAGATGATCGGGTCGAGGGTGCGGTGAGGGCTGGACGCAAGACAGAGCAAGCGGCCCTGCCACCCAAGGGCTGCCACACTTGCTCAGGAGACAGGAAGAACCAAAGGGACACAACCCCGGTGGCATTCTGGGTGTCGGGGGGTGCACACAAATCACCCTGTGAGTGCGTACAAGCTCCCGTGGTCAATGAGAAAAACAGAAACCCCAGCCCTGGGGTGGAGAGGCCACAGCTGCATGCCTGACTTCCTTCCACTGTGCTACCCTGAACCTCCACTAAGACACCCCAGACGCACAGACAGCTCTAACCAGGGGCCGAGGCACACCACAGGCCAGCGCTTTCCAACCAGAGTGACTCTGCCCTGATGTCTGGAGAGACATTCCGGCTGTCCCAGCGGAGCCCAGGGGAACTGCTCAATAATGCAGAGCCCAGCAGCCCCCTCCAGAGAATGCCTGGCCCAAGCCACCAGCAGAATGGGCTCCCCAGGAAAGGACAAAGGTGTGAGGGCTCCCGAGGAACTCCGAGGGCAAGCAGAGCGGTGAAGGTGCTCAGCCAGTCTTGTTTAAGGTGTGGGCCTATTTTTAGGATCTTCCCATTCACCTCCCTGTAACCGATTCTCTCCGTTGCACAAAAACAAACACCAAAACCAAGAATAAGACCAACAAGTATAAACAAATACAACTTGTATTAATGAAAAGTGTTCAGTGACTGTTAAGAGGCCTCCGGTCCAAACTACCACAGTGAGAAGCTGCCAACGGCAGAGGGCGGCTCACAAAGACCAGAACTGAGGTGCCAACGGCCACTCACTCCCTGAGAGGCGACATGGTGATCAGAGGCCTAGCCTGAAGGAAAGAGGTGATTTCTAGGGCTCACTACACCCCTCACCTTCTAGGAGGCCAGAGTTCCCTGTGCTCAGGTGTCGACCCTTGGAGGGCACACAGAACCCTCAGAGCGTGAGTGTGCTGTGTGTGGGAGCACCATCATGGCTGCCGGGCTCCCTGATGGGAACTGCAGACACTCCAGACCTCAGAACACTATCCATGAGGGGCTGAGGGTACAAAGCCAGCAGGCCGTGGCACTGGAGTACCCAGAGCAGTCGGCCGTGGGAACAACCTTGGCCTGACCTCTTGTTTCCAGGGAGATGGACCCCAGCCGGCATGCTCAGGCCATGGCTCTGCTCGGCTGTCCGCAGGCCCGTTTCCTACACTTCACATCACTCAGGAGAACAGGGGACAAGGACTGTGAGCAGGTGTCCCGGGGTGTGCGGTGAGCTCTGCCTCGCATGTTCATTTCCATCTTCACTTACGTCAATTTGTCCAGCAGCTTTCCCAACAGTCATGTGGTATTTCTGATACATATTTAACGGGTGGGGGCAGGCTTCAGGATGCCTGACAGCCTGGGGGAGTTTCCTGGACTCATCATCCTCTTGTGCCAAGTGCTGAGGCACCAGGATTCCAGGAAGGCCATGTGCCTGCATGACCGCAGCGTGCGGGGGGAGGCTGGTTAACCTCGTCAGGGGACACGTAGGGGAGGCGTCTCTCCTCCCCCGCCCACCAATTCTGTCGGATCCATGCAGGTATCCTACTTTAGTAGTTTCTGGAATTTCTCACCCAGACTTATAGTTTGTTCTGTCTCCAGCCTCGAGGAAACCAATATAACCTATGTTTCCAACCTGTGTCTAAGACCCAATTCGTTGTTTTTAGGTAACAAATATGGGGAAAACATCCACCTCATTACTATTTTTCTGTATTTCCTAATTTTTCTAGACTAGACAGGGCCTACTTATTTAATAATTAAAGTAGACTAAAAAATGCACGCTAACAAGCACTCCTTGAGAACCTACTGTCTGCCAGCTACTCTCTGAGCACATTCTCTATTTGAGCCTTGTAACACCGCCACCAGGCACTTTTCGGAGAAAGAAACTGAGGCCTAAGGACTTTGGGCAGCCCCTGCCAGAGGGAAGAGGTGGTGCAGGTGGGTTTGAACCGTGGAAGCCCACGTGGTGTCTGTGGCCAGTGGGGTGATGCTGAGCCGAATCCCAGGACTCAGAGCAGCATGTTTCTACAACAAGTCTTAACAAAATCATATTTGACGGGTAAAAGAAACAAGAATTTATCTACTGTCTGTATCTCTCAAAATGTTTATAAAACTTCCTCTGTGTTTAAAAGAAACACAGGTAAGTATTGAAAGGAGAAACAGAGAAGAACTCTTATTCCAGGAAGATGACCCAAGAGAGTCATACCTGCCATTTCGGTCTCAAAGAACCCAACCAGCGACTGCATGCAGGACAGGATCCACCGGTCTGTGATGTTGGCACTTTCTTTAATTGTGTTCTCGTTGTAGAGGAATTCCATTTCTTCCTCCTGGGAAGTGACAATTACTAAAACATTCTGCATGCTTAGGAGAAATTACTGTACAGAAATGAACTCCTTAAACCACTTAAGCTGAAAGGAGCCCACAACAGCAATCCACAAAACCCCAGACCCCACTGGCAATTTAAATTTCTGATTCTCAGCAATATTTTCCAAATAAGCTCTAAACTTGGGATATTAAGTCCTCAGTTAATTACGTTTTTGACTGCTCTAAACACAATTTAGGAAAAAATTATTCCTTTGTACCAAAAGTGATTATGAGTTGAGAAATATTCCAAAATCTTGTAAGTGTAGGGTTTAGTTACTTTACCCCTAACGAAGGAAAGCTAGTAAAGCTGGCTAGGACTGGACGATCATCTATAGACTGAACATGAGCACTAGAAATTAACGTCTCTGCTTAAATTGCCCATTCTAAACAGCATGCTCTGTTCCAGTCCCCTTTCCTTTGCAAAACCCTCCTCGGGCTGAAGGTCCACTCCACCTGCGCACCCCCCCCACCAGCAACACCTGGTTGGTAGGGTAGCAGCCGCGCTGACTCCGGCCCTGACCTGAGAGCCTGGTGGCGGGCGGGCGTCTGACTGCCAAGCCCAGACGAGCCCCGCCCACTGTGCTCCAGAGTCCCACAGCAGCAGGCCTGTGGGGACCGCCTGAGGCCTCCCGGCCCCATTGGTGACAACAACAAAGGCAGGAGCAACACCAGGACCTGGGGAGATTGCCTGCCCTCCTCAACGCACAGGGAGAAGCCCGAGTCAGAGGCGGCTGCAGGCCAACAGCCAGCCTGAGTGCGACATTCACAGCTCAGGCCTCCCGCCCATTTCCAGAAAGGGTTAACGTTGCACGACAGTCAACAGTAATGTACACAGTGATTCTACTGTAAGGCGTTGGACATAAGGGATGAGGGGTATCGGGGTCTGACCCCAAAGGGAGCCCTGAGAGCAGAGTCAGGCATATGGGTGTTCAGATGGTGCCTTGTTTTCCCTCCTAACAGCCCAGCAGAACGTCTCTCACTTTCAGAGTCTGGACCCTGATGCCTCAGCGAGCCCGGCAACAAGCAGCAGCCTTTACCAGGTGCTCCCACCCTGGGAGCAGTGGGCTCTTCACCCCGACCCCACCCCCAGCAGCCTTGGTTCCATGGGGCGGGGGGGGCCAAACAGGGAATGAATGAACCTCCCACGCAACTCTTCTGTGGGGGCAGCCCCAGTGTCCCACCAAGGCTCTGCACTGACGCCCCCCTCCCCCGGCCCAGGGCTCTGAGCCCCACGCACGGAGCTCTGTCCCTAGCAAACCCACCGACCCAGGTGACGGGACCCCGCCCCACACCTTCTGTAGCCTCAGGACGCTCTGGGTGAAGAAGCGGTAGGCGTTGTACCAAGGGAGCAGCACGTCCTTCAAAACGTCACGCACACCCTCCTCCTTAAATCGGAGATTTTCTGCCCTCACCACAGGGGAGTTGATCAGATACAATCTGGGTGAGGAAAAACAGTACATGGAAAAGGAATATACAGATTAAAACAAGTATTCTTTCTGGACATGTTGACACTGCAAACACCCAACTTGGCATTTTTTTATACAAAAGGAGAGAATTATGAATACTCTTCTTATGGTCAATTTAAAACTGACAAAGCTCTGACTTTGTGCAAGAGACCCAGTGAATAATAAAGGGGAGACGTAACCTCATACCAAAATATGGCCCTTGACCAACCTGGAAGCATGCCCCGTGCCAGTCAGTGCAGGCCTCGGGGCGGCGGGCCTCCTCCCCAGACAATACCCGCAGGCACAGGGATTCACAAAAGGAGTGGCCAGGAGTCCTCTGCCGGCACAGAGGGGCTCCCAGAGGGAAGAGGCCAGGGATGTCGTTAGGCACCCTGAGGACAGTCCCCTCTACAAAGAATTGTCTGGCTCACTTGCTAGCAGTGCCGAGGGGCAGGCTAACAGCTAACAGGGCGGCAGGACACCCCATTAAGTGCTCCTAGGCAGCTGTGAACATGCTCGGGCTCAGCCCCTGGGTGTGGGTCTCCGTGTCTGCAGCAGGAGGATGCGGAATGAAACCGTTGTGGCTCCTTTCCACCCCAACACTTAATGGGCACGACGAGGACCAACGTTTCAAGTAGTGGCTCACATTTCCCTAAAAGCTTTTCAGGTTTCATTGTTATTTGCTCGAGTTTCAATAAATCTCAGACGGCGCTTTTGAGGAGTAAGCGCAGACATGAAATAAATGGCCAACAAGATGAAGAGCCAGGCAAGGCAATGAGGGAGAAACCCAGCAGCAGCCTGGGAGCGACACAGGTCCTGGTCCTCACAACACCTCTGGGCTTCCAAATGCTCGTTACTGAGAAACCACCTCGTGGGTTTGGAGCCAACTCCACACCAGTGTACCTGGCCCGTAGCAGAGACATAGTTTGAGAAAGCTAACTAGGAACCAAATGAAAGGAACACAATTAACAGAACAAGCGAAGCGTACATAAAAAGGACATTAAAAACAGGGCACAGCACTGGCCTGTACCTGAGGGCGTCAGCACCGTATTTATGGATGATTGAAAGTGGATCCGGATAATTCTTTTTTCGTTTGCTCATTTTTTGACCATCACTTGAAAAACAAAAGGGAGATGCCAATTAAGTAAGTCACCATTACAGCCTAACTTTATATGCGGTTACAGGTTATCTGCAAATCAGAATACAGAAATGCAAGTGGGATAAGGGCATAACAATAGATTGTTAACACCTGTGAGCTTCTTTCTGAAGTCCACGGTGAGTCAGTGGAGAAGCTAAGAACACAGGGCTCAGCATTTATTCCAGAGAAATGAAAACTTGTACTGATGGAAAACCTGTAACGGAAGCTCCTGGCTCTATTCATAGTCAGCAGCCACCGGAAACAACCCCAGGTCCTTCAGCAGGTGAGGGGTCCAGCTGTGGTCACCCGCACCGTGCAGCACTGCTCAGCCATGGGGAAGAAGGGACTGAGGACACACCCATCCTGAGCAATCTCCAGGATCCCACTGAGTGGGAAAGCCAGTCCCTGAGGTCCTAAGTGGTGTGATTCCATTCCCGTCACGTATTTGAAATGACAGTTACAGAGATGGGGAGCAGATTAGTGGCTGTCAGGGGCTGGGGGCGAGGGTGGAAGGATGGGGGGATTACAGAAGGACAACAGAGGGGTCCTGGGATGTGGGAACAGTCCAGTACCTTGACTGTGCTGGTGGACAGGGACCTATGCATGTAATGTGTGCGCAACTGCACACCGCAGCACACAAGTACATGTAAAGCGCGGGGTCAGAGGAGGCCTGGGCTGTGTTAGCAGCTGGCTGTGGTGGTGTACCCCAGTTCTGAAAAACCTGACTTTCGGGGGAAACTGGGCAAAGCACACAAGGCTCTCTGTTACTGTTTCACAACTGCATTCAAATCTCCAATTCAATAACATTTTCAATTAAAAAAACCCCCAAAAGCAGACTGCCGAGCCGGACTCCCTGGGTGTAAAACGTGAATTTACCATCACTTGCTGTGTGACTTTGACAAGTTGCTTAATTTTTCTATACCTCAAATTTCTCAAATGTCAAACTGAGGTAAGGAAAGGACCCATCTTGGGGCACCTGGGTGGCTCAGTCGTTAAGCGTCTGCCTTCAGCTCAGGTCACGATCCCAGAGTCCTGGGATCGAGTCTTGCGTCGGGCTCCCTGCTCAGCGGGGAGCCTGCTTTTCTCCCCCCCTTCCTCGTGCTCTCTCTCTCTCTCAAATAAAATCTTAAAAAAAAAAGCGGGGGGGAGGACCCATCTCAAACAGTTCTGGGGCTTTGACGAGAGAAGATGTATAATGTTCACAACACGATATCAGGGGCCATCCTCCCTCAGACAGGACATGAGGCAGGGTATCTGCATAAATGTTTTTTCTTATTTTATTAATTTGTGTTTTTTCTGTTATGACTATAGACAGTAAAAGAAAAAATAAGACTCCCCTATGATCCTGGAAACCTCTAGAACCTACAGCTTCCTCATGTTAAACAGAGGTCAACAAAAATCTTCATTAAAGGACCAGGCACACGCACCTGGTCCAGCCCTCCATGACAGATGTTGTCTTATTGCCCGCAGCATCACAGGATGCATGCCTCCCCCGCCCCCAGCGCCCCAACCTGCCCTTCTCCCTGGGGTAGGGGGTGTGTGCAGAGCCACACTGGAGACAAGAAGTGAGCAGGACGGGGTGGGATGGAAAGGAAGAGCAGCGAGAAGTGGAACAGCAGACGAAGGAGAAGAGCAGGAACAAAGCTGGGGTGATCCTAAGTTCCTGTATTCACAAAGAATGGCTACATGCACCCGGACCATGGCTGCCAGACCAAAGGAAGCCAGGCACCGGGACTAGCCATGACCCAAGGACGTGCACCTGCCTTGCCAGGACGAGCCCGTTCACAATCACGTTCCTGAAGGGCGGCTGTCCAAAGAGAGCGGTGGCCAGCACCAGCAGGGTGTAAAACCTGTAAAAAACCCAGGAAGAAACAGCTCAGCAACAACAGAAAAGGAATCTAAGCATAGGGAAAAAAAAATCTGTGCTTACTTATTGGATGGAATTTCTATTTTAGATCAGTTACACTTCTTAATAATCACTTATACCAAAGGTTCTTTTTTTTTAAAAGATTTTATTTATTTATTTGACAGAGAGAGACACAGTGAGAGAGGGAACACGAGCAGGGGGAGTGGGAGAGGGAGAGGGAGAGGGAGAAGCAGGCTTCCTGCGGAGCAGGGAGCCCGATGCGGGGGCTCGATCCCAGGACCCTGGGATCATGACCTGAGC